CACTTAACTTTTGGGCCACCTAGGGACTCCCTCAAAAGTGAGAAACTGCTTTATTCAGTAATATATCTACTTAATTCAGTAATATATCTACTTAATTCAGTAATACATCCAATTTTACTTACAAGATCGCAGTAGCACAGATTTTGCATCTTATACTAGTTTCCAAAGGTGATGTTTTATCCATGCCACCATCGCCAATATTTAGTTGTCTTTTCCCACTGATACTAGGAAAGTGACTTTAACTATGACACTCAAAGTATAAATATTTATCTCTTTAGTAGTTCAACTTTGAACATTCAGCCTAATGACACATTATTTTGAATGCATATCATTCCCCAGAGAAGCAGGTGTCTCTAAGGAATCTCCTTCAATGTAAACCTAGAATTGATGTGAAAGCAAGTCTTATGATTTAATCAAAACATACAGAGTCAGTCATAAAGCTATGAGCATCTTTTCTTTAGCACCTCAAGGAAGAGCTGATTGTTTACTTAATGTCAAGAACAAGAAGGTTGTCTTGTCAACTGGCTGAAAAGCTTAGTCCATGTTTCGGGTTTCGGTGCATTCCTTGGTCCTAGTTATTGCAGGTTTTCTCAGTTCCATATGCATATATCCCTGTTCCTTACCAGCATAGTGTCATCCACTAGAATAACTCGTCTGCTCTGAAGAGAACAGGGAGTGCTCAAACTCAAATATCTGCAAATAGGCCAGCCCCTCACACTTGTAGGGCTACAGCCATGAGCTACTCCCTTCTCCATCAGGTAATGCAAGGGATCACCTTGTGCACTTCGTGTGGACACCCAACTCTCACACCTAAGTTCTGTACACACATAAACCCTTTAGCCATGCTTCAAGGCAAGGTATGCCCATCCACAGTGCTCTCAACCATCTGAGAGCCCCTGCCAAGAAGAGACCCAGGCACACCTTGTAAGCCAGCAGAGTCCATTTGGTTTGAGAACCTCAGAGCCATGGTACCCAGAACATGGTCTAGAAGGGAAACAAGGGCTCCTACAGATTTCTCGTTCTATGGGTTAATGAGTCAAGCAGGTCATTTTCAGAAGACGTTGGGGAATGGTGAGGTCTAGTTATCCGTAAAGTAGTAGCAATTACCCAGGTCTAACTGATTCCTGCCAATGTTTCATGGGAAGGTAGACATTCACATTTCTGTAAAATGTCCTTATTTCTAAACATTGGCAATTAGTTTCAATCATTATTAAACATTATAGAGAACAGCACTGTAAAGGAATAATAAAAATGAGTCTGCGGGTCAGGGATAGTTTCTGGCTAGTGGTTGTCTGTTCTGGTCTAAGCCTGGAGAATACTGTTAGAGATTCCCACCTTCCCAAAAGGGAGATCCATCTATTATTCAGTAAAGAGGTGGTTTCCAGTAAGACCGTTGGAGACAAAACAGAAGTTTTCCTTCAAACTGAATTATTTGACTTGAGTAGATATGAAATGACTGAGTTCTGGGCACCCATTTGCATGTGAGACAGAAGAAATGAGTCTTCCAGGGAGCTCTGGTAGCATAGTGGTTACGATTTGGGCTGCAAATCGCAAGATCAGCAGTTCAAAACTACCAGCTGTTCCATGGGAGAAAGATGAGGCATTCTGCTCCCGTAAAGATTTACAGCCTCGGAAACCCTGTATAGGGTCACTATGAGTCGGAACCGACTCCACGGATCACACAGCTACCATAGGTCAATTACACACATAGACACACAAAGAAGGCTTGTTGTTGTTAAGTGCCATTGAGTCAGTTCCAACCCATAACGACCCTGTATAGGGTTTCCAAGGATCAGCTGGTGAGCTTGAACTGCCAACCTTGCAGTTCAAACAGCTTTGCAGTTTGAAAAAAAAAAAAAAGAAAACTTAGTACTTGGTATTTTTATCAGTTGGTAAGATTTTACTATATGAGTATTATTCTAAAACAACCTTGTTGATGCCCTATACCAGAAAAGGTTGTTGGAATGAAGACTGTCTCCTTTTGCTCTAGAAGGTGGCTGGGGAGAAAGATGATACGGAGTTCATGCTATTCCTCAAAGTCAATCCTGCCCCCAGTTTTCAAGTATCAGGGACCCAGAACAATCCCAGAAAGAACTTGGGAGATTTCCTAACTCTCTGATTTTAAACGTGTCCTTCTGTTAAAGATAAAGAACTTTGTTTTAGAAGTTGAAAGAATCCAGAAGCAATAGAAAAGTAGGCTATTAATGTATTTGACTCTTTCACTTACTCAGGACCACACATGCTGACTCCATCAATGATTTTGTTCCCTTTAGAACCTGCGGTGTAGCCACTCCCAATCACTTACTGCAAAGATAATTCTTTCTTTGTTGATGATTTACTGACAACCACAGCTTTCAACCTCCTCAAATATGACAGCCAGAAAATGAGATCTCTCTTGTCGCTGCCTATGACATTTTGTTACTGATTTGGTCCAATAGCTCAGGGAGATTTTCAATTTAATGTAGCAGCATAATAATTGTTTGTTTTTCTTCTTTCTGACTATCTCTAATCACTTCATTTTCAACTTGCTCAAAGACTGATAAAGTGCATGTGCTTCACCAAGACAATAAAAGTTTGTCTTCAGATGATGTTTTCCATGAAAGAAGGTACATTTTACTGGCAAAAGTTTAAAATTCTGGTTGAAAAGAGGGAGAAGGCTTTGACATTGGTATTTTGTTCTTACGACTTTATTCAATACATTTCTGATTTTTTAAAAATCCATTTCAAAACTAATCATTGTGAACTGAACGAACTTTTACAGAGCAAATCATCCATTTTACATTCAACAAATTATACATGTTACCTCATCTCAATGATTGCAACCTCCCCCCACCCAATGCAACATCACCTGTCTCATTCCCTCTCTGGGTCTCCTGCCTTCTCGCCACCCTCACCCCTCTAACCCCTCTGAACTTGGTCCTCATGTAAAGGCAAATGCTGCCCTCCTGATTGTGAATGGTGGACCACTCCATGGCATGTGCAACTCACCAGTATTGCTCACACACACACATAACTATTGCTTGGCTGAAAATGAAACCACAGGGGTGAGTTCAGCACCAGATCTGAAGAGTGACCAAGGATCACAGTCTCGGCATTACTCTCTCCAACTAGTCAGCCTGGTATTCCCTGTGATTTTGAGTTTTGCTCCGTAGTTTCTGCAGCTCTATCCAGGACCCTCTACTGTGATCCATTTGAGAGCAGTTGGTATTGGTTGCCAGGTATCATTTAGTTCTGGTCTCAGTGCCATGAAGACTAGTGTTCCTGTGGTCCATTGGTCCACTGAATTTATTATTTCCAAGTATCTTCAATTTCCATCACTCTTCTTTCCTCTGGACCAAGAGAGACTAATAGTTTCATCTTAGATAGCTGCTTAAAAAGCATCCTTTATTATTATTATTAAAACCTGATTAATTGAATCTTAAAGAAAAAAATCAAATTTATTGAATGATAATAAGCCTGGGTCTTAATCATTCTGCCATTATAACCAAATAATGAATGTATTCTTGTACAGCCATTTATTTTTATTTAAGAATATAAATAAATAAATATTCTTTTTAAGTTATCAATGTAACAAAACATTTTGAGTCTCTGTTCTTTCTGCCCAACTTTTTCATTTCAGAATAGAATTACAGTTTTTAAAGTTAGGAGCCTTTGCTGGAACTTCTGTTAATTGTTTTTAATTTGCCATAAGAGATATCTTCCAGAGTTCTAAATAGGGAACCTGATCTAGAGACCCAACAAAGGAATCATTAGTTGTGATTATTTTCCATATTATTATTCCTCTGTCCAATAAACATCTTTTGAGTATGCTAGTTAAGTTGTAAGATAGAATCAAACAGTCCTATTGTGGTGGTGTGGGTTAATGTGCTGGGCTGCAAGATGGTGTGGGTTAATGTGCTGGGCTGCAAGATCAGCTTGAACTGCAAGGTCAGTGATTCAAGCTCACCAATCCTCAGAAACCCTTTACAAGGTCGCTGTGAGTTGGAACATATTCTATGGCACTTAACAACAACAACAATTTCTAATTATAGTATTTTAGGTGCCTACTTATGTTCTTTTCATCAGCATACTAATACCTAAGTATTAAAATAGCAAAATTCTTTCTTGAATGACGGAACTTTCACTTCAAAATCTCTCTTCTCTTGGCTGACAATTTTTTGTCATTTCTCCCAGTAAAAATGCTCGCTTTCTTGGTTTGCTATATATGCTCAATAACACTGACTGTATCTTGTAATAATAATACAAAGTGTAAATGACCAACTCAGAGATTGAAACTTCCTAATTCCCATCACCATTATCAGTCTTGACCCTAGAATAAGCACACTACTTTTAAGAAACATGTTTCCTAGAGTATATTAATGCTTTTAGGCTAACAGAAAATCACAAATTAAATAGATAATTTCATTCACTAGAAAAATTGTGATAGGTCACTTGACATGGACACCCCCATGCTGTTAAGCCTCCCCATACATCTGTAGCAGCATTTCTCAAAGTGTGGTCTTGAAACCTGATCCAGAGGTCTATACCTAATCTTTCCCCACCTATTCAAGAAAATTTACATGGGTAGGCTCTGAAACTGTATTTTTTTTACGAGTTCTTTGAGTAATTCTTACACACAAAACAGTTTAGAACCACATCTACTTGTTATATGACCACTTATGACCAATTATTTTTCATCTGAGAAATACAGTATCTAAAACTTGACATGTCTACAGGCATTCTAGTCTAAAGGAGAGGAAAAACATCATCCAAGAAGCAGTTGATAAGGGTTTCACCAGTGTTTCCTATAAGAACTGGACTTGGCCCAAGATATGGGGGAGCAGGCTATGTTGCTAGATTTGTAGCCCTTGAAATAATATCTAGAAGGGGTACATGGGGACAAATTGAGGCCAGTCAACCAACTGTATCAATGCCAGTGTCAAAACGTATCTCAGACATAGCAGGTACTCATTAAGACCCTCGTTAGATAACTGAGTTTCTATGTACTGTGTGTATTCCAGGAGAGCCCTGCCCAGAGAATGGGAGGAGTCCAGGTTCTGTGTCAACCCACCACAGCTCTCCACGCAGTGACTACGCAACCTACACCAACAGTAACCATGCTGCCCCCAGCAGCAATGCCTCTCCCCCTGATGGCTTCGCCTCCCACAGCTTACAGACCAGCGATGTGATCATTCACCGCAAAGAGAATGAAGGCTTCGGCTTTGTCATCATCAGCTCCTTGAACAGGCCTGAGTCTGGATCCACAATAAGTAAGTTACCAGTTCTCCAGCCTTACTTTTACTTGTTCTAGTGACAGGGATACTGGACAAGTGGATTAGAGGATTTTTGTAGCCACCTTGCGTGGCCTGAAAGCCCTAGGCTGTAGATACAAAAATTCTTAACACCAATTAGCCTAATATTGCTGACCATCACCTTACAAAGGCATGAGCAAAATCAATCCCCCTCCCCACTCATAACCCCTTTTTCCACAAAAATCCCTTGATTGGTTTGTAAGATGGTATAAAAAAAATAACAAAACAGAATACTGTGATAGTGATTAGTTTGGGCAGGTCAGGAAATGCTTCTCAAAGGAAGTAGTTTTTGATTGAGGGATACTCAACAAGATGAAAGGAGACATCTAATTCTTCTGCTCTCTAGGTCGTGGAGACTGATATTCCTGTGGCCCATTAGTCTTCGATTTTTCTGACCCTTCTTTCCTCCAGTCAGGGAGGGATCAATAGTTGCACCTTAGTTGGACAATCACAAACTCTTAAAGACTCCCATCACTACTCATGAAAGTCAGATGTAGAACATTGTTTGTGTGATCTATGTTGTCACAGTTAACCTTAGTGTCCACTGAAAGTATGGTCCTGAGCCTCCAGGCTCATTACTTCCAAGTGTTTGGCTGTGTCTAACAAGTTTCCACAACTTTGTGCCTGTATGTGCTACCATATTCATAGGTATACTTGTAGCAACAATGGTGCCCAGGTACCACTACAGGTACAAGGTGCTAGATCTCTACCCTGAAAGGGATCACACCAGAAGGTCCTGGATAGAATAGGAGAAAAACGGAATGCAGAACTCAGCACCATAAAAAAATTTTTTTAAAGACCAGGCTTATTGGTTGAATAGGGACTGGTGAAACCCCTGAAAATTTGGCCTTTAGTCACCCTTCAGATCTAGAAATGAACTCACCCCCAGAGCTCAATTTTTAGTACTGGACTGTTGATTTCAAGGTCAGTGGTTCAAAACCACCAATCGCTCCTGAGAAACCCATATGGGGCTGCTATTAGTTTAAACCACCTCAACGTCACTTCAACAACAACTTAGAGGGAATAATAACAACTCTGGGGAGGTAGGCACGCCTTAGAATCAAACATATGAGATCAAAACTCAGCCTTTTCCCAAGGACAATGTTCAGAAGGGTTAGGAAAGAAGGAACAGAAACAAGAAACAGAGCAAATGGGATAAGAGATGTTTCATCATGGGATTGCAGTTAATGAGATGAAACAAAATGTGTATGAATTTTTTAATGGAAAACTAGTCTGCTCTATAAACCTTCACCCAATTCATGATAAAAATACAGGAGGGGGAAGACAAAACCAAACATGCAAAGAATGTTCAAGTGGAAAATGAGCTCAGTATTCAAGAAATACATAAAAATCCCAGAGCAGTGAGATAGGGAGTGTGCAGGAGACCGAGGCATAGTATCAGATAGTAAAGATTCACAGGCCATGGTGAAGAGTTTGGGGTGGAATCTAAACCCATAATAACCATTTGAGGATTTCAACAGAGGCTTGAAATCTGAATAACATTGTTAAAAGATTAGTCCACCTGCTCAAGGAATATGGTCCACCTGCTCAAGGAATATGAAACTGGGTAGAGAGGAGCAAGAGTAGAAGTATGAAGAGACTGTCACCACTACCAGTTGCCATGGAGCAGATTCCAATTCATAATGACCATATGTGTATCAGTAGAACTGTGATCCATAGTTTCAATGGCTGATCTGTCAGAAATAGACAACCAAGCCTTTCTTTTTGCTTTCCTGGATTGACTCCAACCTTTTGGCTAACAGTGGAATACATGAACTGTTTGAATCACCCAGAGACTCCGAGACACTATTAGGAGACTGCTGTAATAAGATGGTACCTTACTCTAAGATAGGAGCAGTCAAGAATGGGAATAGATTAATTCAACTTCCGATGTTCCTTCCAGATCAAAAGTTCAAGTCACAATGAGAGGTCATATTTTGTCTTCCAATCAGTCATTTTTGTAGAGTCTGCTCATTTCTCTTTCAGCAATACAAATCCAGAAGCTTCTCAACAGTGAGTAACACACTAAGACAGAAGGGATAGGAAAACTAGTTCATTTTTCTTGTTGTTTTAGACCCCAAATGTAGAAGGTATAAAACACAAGTATATAGCATGCTTGTTGTTGTTGTTGTTGTTAGGTGCCATCGGTTACTACTCATAGCAATCTAATGTACAACAGAACAAAACACTGACTGGCCCTGTACCATCCTCACAATTGTTCTGCTGTTGCCACTGTGCCAATCCATTTCATTGAGCCTCTTCCTCTATTTTGGCTGACCCTCTACTTTGCTACACATAATGTCCTTCTCCAGGGACACGTTCCTCCTAATAATATGTCCAAAATATGAGAGAAAAAGTCTTGCCGTCCTGGCTTCTAAGTATTCCGGTTGGACTTCCTTCCAACACAGATTTGCTTGTTCTTCTGGAAGTCCATGGTACTTTCACAATATTCTTCTCCAACCCCATAACTCAAATGCAGCAGTTCTTCTACAGTTTTCTTTATTCATTGTCCAATTTTCACATGCATATGAGATGATTGAAAATACTATGTCTTGGGTCCAGCACACCTTAGTCCTTAAACAGGTTTCCTTGCTCTTGAACACTTTAGAGGTCTTGTGCAGTGGGTTTGCCTAATGTAATACTGCATTTGATTTCTTGGATGTTACTTCCATGAGTGTTGATGGTGGCTCCAAGCAAAATGAAATCTTTGACAACTGTCATCTTTTCTCCCGTTATCATGATGTTATTTATTGGTCCAGTGGTGAGGAATTTTCTTTACTTGATGTTGAGGTTCAATCCATACTGAAGGCTGTGGTCTTTGATCTTCATCAGCATTTTAAGTCCTCTGTGCTTTCAGTAAGCTAGGTTGTGTCATTTGCATATCACAGGTTGTTAATGAGTCTTCTTCCAAACCTGATACCACATTCTTCTTCTTATATTCCAGTTTCTCAGATTACTTGGTCATCATACAGATTGAATTTGTTGTTGTTAAGAGCCATCAAGTTCGTTCTGATGCATAACGACCCTGCATAGTTTCTGAGGCAAAGCTAGTGGGTTTGAACCACCAATCTCATGGTTACAAGTCTAGTGCTTATCCTACAATGCCACACCAGGACTCTACATACTGAATACGTATAGTGAAAAAATACAGCCCTGGCACCAATATTTTCCTGTTCTGTTCAAACAACTGCTTCTTGGTATATGTCCTCATGAGCACAAACAAGTATTATTGGATATCCAGTGTTTGGAATGCTGTTCATAGCTTGTCGTGATGCATAATTACTGAAGCACAAACATCTATCTTTCTAGTATTCTCTGCTTAAGAGTACTTAACAGAGGAAAAAAATAGCTACAATTGCACCCATGTTGTATTCCTAAAATACCTGTAAGTTGTCATTTTCAGTACACTAGAGGGGAGGATAGGGTCCAACAATACACAAGAAATCAAATTATTAAGAATTGATTAAGCAACTTTTATGAAAAAGATATGTCTTCAAAAGCCACCAGAACTAAGTGGAGAGAATTGTTTCCTTTAGGATTACCCTTGATAAATTCAAGAGTGAAAACTGTAGATGAGTTTGTTGGTGTTGTAAATGCCATTGAGTTGGTTCTGACTCATAGTGACCCTCTATAGGGTTTCCAGCGAGCAGCTCATGGGTTTGAATCACTGTCCTTGAGGTTAGCAATCCAGTTTTTAATCCTACAGTGCCACACTAGAATGCCTTATAGAAGAGTTAAACCTCAGCGAATATATGCAGAATCTAAATTACATACATCTAAAAGTACAATTTCATTTCTCTTTTTCTTCATGATAAAACTGGAGAAATAAATACAATCTTTAAGCATAGACTAAAAGCAGAATTCTGTCAGGACGATAGACTCACCAAGATTAAAAGGACACAAGACTAAAGATTTTCATGAATTATATTAACAGCCTTCCAATAATTTACACTTGGGGAAAATGTTCACAAGGAACTTGTGTAGCTATTCCAGTCATCCAAAGTATTTTTTGGGGTAGGATACCTAAAGGACTCAAATAAAAATAAAAATGTACGACCACAATGAAAGTGTGAAGTATGTATTTAAGGTCTTAGCTTTATTTGTAGTGTGACAGCTTTATTTCTAAATGTGTGTGGGATGTGTGTGTGTGTGTGTGTATGTGCACATTTGCTACATTAAAAAAAAACCACAGATACTTTTCTCCACTGTAGATAAAATTCAGGCAAAGGTAGATTTGGAAAAGAACAAGTGTGAATGTTTGCAATTAACATGTGAATTTTTCCTTCCTACCAAGCGACATTAGACTGACCTCTAAAGAATAATTGTAGTCACTTTCAAAATATTATTTTTATATTACTCTGCAGAGAAGAAATATAATCTGGAGTTCATGATGCCTTATGGTTTCTTTTTTCACATATCTATTTCTTTTCAATTTAAGGACCTTGAGATGCAGCTTTGCCCCCTGCTCTCTAGGAAAGGCAGCTATTAAACTCCTAGCATGGTGCATTTACAACGTATCATTCCCAACATGCACCTAAAAGGCTCCTGGAGTTGCTGCTATTTCCTACTAAACTTGTGTCATCATTTTGAACTCTAATTTTGAAGGGAAATGCTAAGTGCCTCATGAAAGTTACAAGCCACACTGTGCCACAGCTCCATCACAAAAATACCAAGGGTCCTTGGAGTCTGTGACATGGGACGGGACTCAGGAGTCACCATCATTCCCAGAGATCTTTAACACAGACACAGTTATTCTCCTGGCTACTGAAGACTTATTTTCCTCAGTTTCCCTGACTGTAAACAGAGAAGAATGTTAATCTCCATGCCACGGGGTTGCTCTCAAGGTTAAATGGATTCATACAATGAAAGTACTTTAGAACAGCACTGACTCAGAAGCAGCACTGAATGTGTCACTGCTGTTATCCAGACCGCCACCCCTGCTCAGAATTCTCTGTCCA